AGCCTTCTATGTTTTTGTCCGACGTCAAACAGCCCTGGGCCCACTACCCACGGCTGAAGGCGAGAGCAGCCGAAACCAAGCACCTCATGCCCGCCCTCCGCGATGTCTGGCAAGCCTGAGCTGAGGACACGAAGATCAACAGCAACATCGCCCGCCTAGACATGTCCTGCCGAATCGACTCCATCATCGACGCGTGCCCGCGCTTTGCTCTACCTACTGATGCGTCCGCCGAGTTGCTGGAAGTTGGGCACACGTTCTTTGCGCTCCAGAACACCTTGGCCAAACATTTCCTTCGCCAGGAGGGGCGCTTTCTCTTCAACGTCACCTTCAAGCCGCACTGGCTGCTCCACAGCCTCCTTATGGCCAAGCACGCGTCCCCCAGACCGAACCTCAGCCGGCTGCGCCTCGCGCGTGCTCGTAGCTATGCGAGAAGACGCCCTAACAGACATAAAGAACGTGTAAGAAGCCGTTGAACTCACAGCCACTTTCCCAAAGCAGTTGTTTCCAAGTGCTGTGCTTTTTTTGAGCTTTGTTGAGAGCTTTAGGCTTCTCAGAGGTGTCTCTTTTGAGAAGTTTTCTGTTCGTGTGAGTTAACGCGACAGCCCAGTCTCACTTGCATCGCGGAAGCTTGTGGAGGGTGTTGTCGTTGAGAGACATTTCGAAGTATCGTAGATATAGCCTCGCGCGTGTCCAAGGCCCTTGGGCTCCTCCCTGCTGCTCTGCTTTGGAGAGTCTTGTTGAGAGTGCTGCTGAGAGCCAATTCTATTGCCCCCACGCGTGTCTTGTTGAGAGCAGTCCATGTCAGAGATTTCAAATTTTTGAATCTTTAGGGTCTTTGGCAAGAGTAGGCGTCGGTGCGTGCTATCAACAAGAAGACCTGATGCAAAAGGTCCGGAAGCTTCTGCAGTTGTGCACGCGCGGCCTGAAGCCGGCCAAAGCCGTAGAGAAGGCGCTGCGCAAGTATGCGGTGGCCATGCAGACGCAGCATGGCGCGATGCGCTGGTGAGACCTCAAAAGGACTAGCTTGCACGCGCCGGCAATAGCCCCACCCTTGATAGTTTGCTTGCCTTGTCTGTGCGCGCAGTCCAGTGCTGGCCCAAGCTGTGCAGTCAAGTAGTCGCCTATATAGCCTATACCTGGCGCTATGTGCTGAGAGTCTCGTTGAGAGTCTTGTTGAGAGTCGGCAGTGATCGAAGTCGTGTGAAGCCTTCGGTATAGGCGCATATGACTGCGTCGCTGAGGGTTCTGTGCTAGGATTGCTCTGTATATATAAGTATCTATCTACACATTGCGTGTGATTCTTTTCAGTTTTCAAGGTTATTTTTCAAGTTAAAAAAAAGTCTTAATTTCAATTTTAAACTTTAAGACTGTTTTTTCCCCGAGGCAAGTTAAAATTTAACCCGGAATTAAGGCTTAATCCTAAATTAAGTCTTAAAGTTAAAACGTCCCGTTTTTTGTCTTATCGGAGCCTTGGGGTAAAGCACAGAAGACCTCAAAGGACACTACAATCAGATCAACGGAACAAGTAACCAAAGAACCACCACCACTACGACAGAAAATCAACGCAGTGACACTTCCCAACGGAAAATCCATCACTCCCTACACAAACGACGACACCTCAGAAGACCAACCCATAATCTTCGACATCGAAGGTTACGACGAAACACAACTACTGGAAGGAATGAAACACGAGTCAAACCAAATGAAACTTCACGACGTCTACGACGAAGTAGATGCGTCTACCGTCGACGACAACGTCGTCAGAGAAGCGATACCTACAAGATGGGTGCACAGAAAGAAAGGACCAGGAGTACGAAGCCGAATCGTCGCAAAAGGCTACACCGAGAAGATCGAGGACGAAGACTCCGTCTACGCCTCTACACCAATGTTCACGACACTCCGGACACTTCTCGCACTACAAATGTCACGACCAAACTGGATCGCGCGACTAGGTGACGTCTGTACAGCATTTCTACACGCACCCATCGCAAAAGACCACGACGGTAAACAACGTGACGTCTACCTTTGGCCACCTAAAGAACTTTGTCCACAACAGGACAAAATCTGGCGACTAAAGAAAGCCATGTATGGACTACGCAGTTCACAGAAAGCATGGCAGGACTACCTGGCTGAAGCTCTACGAAAGCTCAGCTTTGTAAGACTAAAGTCAGAACCCAACGTCTACACCAATGCGACTCGCGACTGCTACATCATGGTCTACGTGGACGATCTACTAGTACTTGGAGACAAGACCGCAGTCGACTCCACTTTCGAGGACGTCCAGAAGCAGGTACTACTCAAGCACATCGGCTACCTCGAACCTGGCAAACCACAACAATTTCTTGGAAGAAACATCGACCACTTCGGCAACTACTGCAATCTTGGACTAAAGGACTCCTACATCGACAACATGATCGAGGAGTCTGGAATGAACAACTGCAACTCAGTGAGCACTCCAGGAATTGCACACTACAAACCAACAATAGAAGATGAAGCACTACTTGACCACGAACAACACAAAAGGTACAGAAGAATTGTTGGCAAACTTCAATGGTTAGCATACACACGACCAGACATTGCATACTCCACAAAAGAACTAGCACGAGACCTCACAGCACCTACAGAACTTTCACAAAAGAGAGTCAAACATCTACTACGCTACTTGCACGGCACCAAGCACTACAAATTCACCATAGAACCAACAACAACACTCAGAGCAAACACCAACAACATCCTGGATCTCGACGTTCATGTCGATGCCGACTGGGCAGGATGCCCTACTACCAGGAAATCAACTTCAGGTTTCAACATCATCTTTCTAGGAACAACAGTTGCATTTGGCAGCAGAACACAAGCTACAATAGCACTTAGCTCAGCAGAGTCTGAACTCTACGCCATTTGCACAGGAGTTAATGAGGGACTACACCTCAGAAACTTCCTACTTGAAACCAACATTTGCAGCAAGCTAAACCTACGCATCCACACAGACTCCACAGCAGGCAAGAGCATTGCTACACGACAAGGCACTAGCAAACGAGCAAAACACATCGACCTCAAATTCCTCTACACACAAGACCTCATCAAGCACGACATCATCAGAATCCTTAAGATCAACACACTCCACAACAGCGCAGATTTGTTTACCAAATACATCAGCAAAGAAACACTACACAGGCTCATCCAGAGCATTGGAATACGCATCTAGCACTACGAACGACCAGCACAGCAGTTTCACAACAACAACAACAACGACTTTGGACATTTCATGTATGTAAGTAGCTACATGTAACACGACACTTTTGGTATGTAAGTAACAGTAACTACATGTACTTTCACTTGCACTTTTGGCGGCTTGAGTCAACACTACAGTTGTTTGTTTTACATGTCTGCATTCGCCGACTGCCTGGTAGCAACTACTTAGGCTCATTTGTTTTGCCCCGTTTCACTACATTTTGCATTCCACTGCAGCCATGGCCGCTCCATCTACTGCAGATGCTACGATGGGAGACGCCACTACGCCCGACAGGGCGACTACACCTGAGGTGGCGGTCACTACAGACTCCAGTGACCATGGAACTCCACCACCTCAAACCTACACCGACTCCAACTACCACTTCAACCATTCTACACCCGGCAACACCGTCTACTACAACCCGACCACAGTGATGGACCAACTACACATCACTGAGCACCAGACAACCACTGCACCACCACTGCCCGACAACATTCCCTACACTCAATTTTTCACTGCATTTACACTTGAAGAGTATCAACTACTCTCACAACAACAAGCTACTCCACTGGCACAACTGGACTACACACGACCCATTCACTGCATCCCTGGAGATCTTCGGATGCCACACTACAATTCTACACTGCTCAGCATTTCACTACCTGAAGCAGCCAACGTCCACTACTACCACACGACTTCACTCCACACTACAACTGCGACAACACCAACTACGTCATCATCCAACTCCAGATTGAACAACCACTACTCCTGAGGTACCTCACTTCAGGACAATTTCTACACTTCACAAGGGACTACATCTCCTACATGATGTCGGTACAACACAACTACTACCTCCCGACTACAACACTGCCACAGACCATCTTCAAGGTGAACTACAACATGACCACCTTCACTGACAACTACAGCCTCAGGAACAACTACGTTTGGAATTACCACATGCCACTACTTCTACCTGAACTACTCCATTACCTTTACAACCGAGACCAACTACACGACTTCCAGCACAAAGCAATCACTACAATCCTCTGCAAAAGCATCCAATACTACGGATTCACACTACTCACAATGACCAACCTCACACAACACCACAAAGCACTACTACACCGCTTTCTACGGGACTACGACCAACACATGTCGTGTCCCGAGATTGATGATGAGCGACTACGGGGAGCTCCAAACTACATGACAACCTTTTTCACCACCAACTACTACGCGATCTTGGACAGTCGACTACAGATGGTCCAAGCCTAACGCACCCAGAAATGGGGACTACATTTTTGAGCTCCTGCTCTACTACAACGAGTGCCTGCCTTCACTACTTCCGTCCAGCGCCCTACATCGAGCTGGAACCTGAACAGCGTGAACTACTGAGCGCAGGTCACTACTTTTGCCAATACAGTAGAATTGATGAACAACAATGGTTTTCATCACTACTGTCAATCCATGTTTTGCACTTCAGTTGAAAAGGTACTACAAAGACCTTTTAACTGAGGGGCCGTGTCAAACTACATGCTTCACTTTGCACTCTTGTTGCATGTATGTTCACTACCGCAGGCCTTGAGCTTACTACTCCGCATGAGTCAAAAGGTTGGCAGCTGCAGACTACATTGGTTGACTGTTTGTTTGAACACTACAGCACTTGCACTTGTAAGCAAAGTAACAACCGATTTTAACGAGAGCGAGAGAGAGAGAGAGAGAGCAAATAAACACCACGCATAACCAGAGGACCTCATGCCGAGGGCATGGCTGCAAGTTGAAATGAAGCGCTTTGGCTCCCGTGGTGAGCATCACATCCATGACCTGCCAGCACCATCGTCCATTTTCTGTCATTTCCAATGTCAACCAGCCTTGTTACCTGAAATGAAAGACAAGGAGGCTAAGGTCATCTTCCACAAGACGAGTCCCGACCTGCTCCAACAGCTTGCCCTTGCGGTACACGATGCGACTGCCCAGACCCTGCAGCGACTTGTCAAAGAAGCCCAGAGATTCCTTGCGGGCCCGTCACGACCGTGCAATCCGTGAACCCGCGTCTCTCATGCGTTGATGTAGGCAAGCAGATTGAGACATCGTGCTGAATGTCAACAAATGCCAAGCCACATGGCGCCACCACAACCCCGCACCGCGCACCGGCCAGGGCGAGGGATCGTCGTCATCATGCACGTAGAGAGGTACCTGCACAAAAACCTCGAACATTCGTCTCAGTTTGACTACAAATGGTGGGTGCAGACATCTGCCCTGTCGTTGCGATTCTAACTGGCCTGTCTGCAATTCTTGACATGAGAACCAGCCCAGCTTGTGTTTCTTTTGGGCGAGGACTAGGCCAAATTGAACCATTGACCCCTTCGGCTTGCTGACCAGGCGCAATCCAGTCATGCATGTCAGCCGCTGTGTGCAACGCAGGGTTGTCATGCAGGCGGCAGTCTTCCCGGATGAGAACCACACCTTGCAGCAGCGATGTTTGCAGCTTGATATGATTGACCATGCCAAATAGCATGTAAGCCTGAATTGAAACGGCACATCACGGAAGCCAACTTACTGTCACGTGTTGTTGCCTGCCCTGAGCCTCTCAGCAAACATGTGCCTGAACTATCCTGATGTCATCACTGAATCCAAAGGGACTCCACTGCCACTTTCCACTTCCACGCTCCCGAAAGCTCCCGGCACCTTGTCTCTGCCAAGCCGCATCCGCCAGGCTCGGCATCCTCCACGTCTCCACGCACCTCCGCTCGCCGGCGCGCGCGGCGCCGGTTCCGCGCCGCAGCCCCGCCCGGAGCCCCAGGTGCAACAGGTGCAACAGGTGCAACAGGTGCAACAGGTCCGGAGTCGAGCGGCGCAGAGGCCGGTGCCTCGGGGGCTATCACTTCAAGATGAATTACTGCATGCCGCATGCCGCCTAAACAAGGCTTCTAGGCAATCAATCAAGCGATTGCCGTGTGTCTTCAAATGTTATCCGCGTTCCAACCCTGAACTTCGGCATACCCTCCTGGCCTTTACCTCCACCTCCAGTCGTGCACGGTAACTGGAGCCAACGCCCATTGATGACAAGGAGACCTTGGGCAGGGCTGATATTACAGCAAACCGATGCCTTACATAAAGTCTCACGCAGTCCCAGTCCCAGTGCACAGCTGAAGCTGCTACATCATTGAAATTATACATCCTATTCTGGAGGCCACCTGTTGCCAGCACTTGAGCATTCCGTCACAACGTGTGCGCCTGGAGTCCTATCTTCAATCTGCGTGTTCTGCACCTGTCTTGGACGTCATTTCTTTTGAAGACTGCCAAACTGTGCAGACCATCCACCAGGTCTCTGGACAACGGCTCGCCAGTGTCAACCACACCTTGCTCCTGCACGCTTGTGAGTGAGGCTGGACGGGCGAGATCGCTAGAAGCGTCCTTCATGGAGTCATCCAGAGTGCTGAAGTACATCTTCCTTCCAAAATCCATGAAGGACTCACCTGTCAACACAGTTGGAAGGGTTTTCATGACGAAGGCTGTGCTCATATGTGTCACATGAAGTAACCAACCAAAGAAAAAAGAACATACAGTATATCAAAATGTGTTTCAGGAGGCAACAGTGGGTACATGCAGAACACGAAGAACTCTTACATATGTATTGTTACTATGGTCGCATTGGGCAAAGTAGGCTCAGCTTGGGTCTGTTTGACCTGCATGATATCAAAGCAAACTCCTCCAAACAGAGAGCAAAAAAAGTCGCCGTGCTTCGTCATCGTTGCCAGCGACAGTCCTGCCTTCGTCATCCTGCGCGTCCTGAGTCCCGCAGTGCCACAGTCCTATCGGCCTAAAGCAACTAAAGCACATCTTGCACATCTTTCTTGGCGCTCTCCTGACCCGGTGAGCTGCCAGGACCGAAAGGCAAGCCGCCCGGCTGGCTGCCGTCTGGCTGAACGTCCGGCTGGCCATCCACCTTTCCGTCATGCCTGGACCATTGTGGCAGTGCCACTTTTTTCCTTTTTTCACGGGGGTTTGTCACGTGCTGGCCTTGAGCTGAAGCTACAACAACTTCTCAAGACACTTGGGTTAATCTCCAACACCCCTTGGTTTGCCCAAAAGCAAAGGCAATGAGCGCTTGAGTGCTGGAAAAATCCAAAACCCCGAACGAATGATTTGGCCGAGGATCGCGTTGGCCCAGCGCCGCCGAGGTGCACCTTTTCGGACGGTTTGCAGAGATACGCGGTCCCGAGCATTAAATCATTGCTGCTGCGCATTGGTACAAGCTTTAGATCTACTCCAATGATGCTTCAAATGAGATGTAAGATCCATTCAAATTCTCCCAATACCCACCATACAGCGATTTCTGAAACCTGAAACCATTTAGTCCCCTATAAGCCACCATCCAAAGCGGGCCCTGATTTTGCGTAACATCAACTTTCCTTGGCACAAATTCAAGCGGCAGAAATACTTGCGGTGCACCTTCCTCACTCTCCCCTTGGCGCCAGCGCATGGCAGCACATGGTGGCCCGAAAGGAAAACCTCCTGGGCTAAAAATAGCGATTGATAGCTTGACAGCTTGCTACAGTTTCTATTGAGCCCTCAGCATTTGTTGGAATCGCCTAGCTGTGACTTTCTTCTCGAGCAAACAGTAACGCGATGTGGGGCCTCATGCAGAGCATCTATCTGATGTTGCCGACCTCGTTTGCACATGTCAGCGATCATGCTTGAGTCGGCAAAAGCTGCGGTGCATGGCTCGCACAGCGCAAGCTCCATCTTGCTTCACGTGAGTCCCAACAAATCCTGAATCTCCGCCCAAAAAACGCCCGCTCCGCCTCGGCTAGCTGCGGAGCCTCTATGCACAGCGGTCTTTTCATGCGCCAAGTGAGAACGGTTGGCATTTTGAAAAAAAAGAGAGATACTACACCAAATATGATCTTGCTTTAACTAGAAGAATGAACAAGCAAATGCTTGTGGGCTCTTGCATCGCTGGTAACATGGGGCATCCTCATGAAACAGTTGCAAGCACAGTTTTGGAGTTGCAACGATCGCGAAGTGTGCCTGATTTTGCCCCTAACTGTGCAAACCGGGAGATGAAGCAGCAACAGTCAAGCTGAAGCTTTCATGTTCATATGCCTAGTATGCAAGCATGTGGCTCCCGTGCGGAGAACAGCTGCAGCGCCGCAATCATGTCCACGAAACACGTAAATATTCAAACAGAACATGTCAAACCAATTATCCCTGCTTTTACATTGTAAACAAATCGACTACAGTATGCTACCGATGGTGGACGGAAACATTGCACTGTGGCCGTTGGCAATACAAGGTCCCCACTGACCAAGCGCACGGGGTCGGAGTCGGCGGGGATGCCACTGCCTTGTCACAGCTTACTTGGAAGGGAAGCTGACTACCAGCCTCTCTAAACCACAAATGAAGGCCTCCCTCCAAGGATCGGGAACAATGGTTGGCATAGGGTCACCAAAGCAAACAGCAGTCACAGGCAGCCCCATCCAATCAAGTCCTCCAACTACCAGTGATGCTGTCCAAGAGCTTGGCACGAATCTGCAAACTTGGTGAGGATGCTGGCGACTGAAGGGCCTCCGGCACTGGTACTCGTACCACCGATGTGCACCGGCCACCGGTGTCGAGGCAAATAACATTAGCTAGCCGACACAGCACCGAATGTCGCTTGATTCAATGCTGACGCAGTTCAAGCCAAACTGATCACTATCTGGGTCAGCGTAACAGTACTGTAAGCTAGAAAAGAAGGCAAGCATTGACACATTCAAAGCAGGGGGAGTTATCTCACACACGGACAAGCACTTCGACCAAGCCGATGGGCCTTGGGCGACGGAGATGGCTCCGATGCCACAGGAGCCTCAGGTGTGCTGGCCATGGGCACAAGGAGGCCATCGCAAAGTTGGGATTGGGTCGTTGTCTGGCCTGCATGCTGGCCAGTGGGTGCAAACTTGAATGATTGGAATGCGCATCTTCTGCCAAGCAGCCTTCTCTGAAGCACCAGGATCGCTGGCACGGCAACGAACCACTGTCTTTGTCAGAGTAGGATATGGCCCTTGCATTGGCGGCCCATGTGGCCCGTGCGGCGTGCGCGGCGCGGACGAAGGCGGTGCATGTGGTGTGTGGGCTGCAAGTGGCAAGTGGGGCACCTGCGGCATCGGGGCATAAGGCGAGTGCACTGCGTGCGGCGCATGTGGCTGAACCATCACTCGCTCTGGAGACATCCGCATGGCCACTGCGCCTGTCACAGGGAAACGCCCGAACATCGAACAAAATGGCAAAATGTTTGGTGTCAGCTCAAAAAGGTCAATGCACAGATTCAGTTTGTACGATGCCCGTCCACTCTTGTTGAAGCTGCACCACCGGCCTCTAGCTCCATGCACGTATTGCAGCTCCCGCGCACCTCGCGCGGAGTTGGGCGGAGGCGTGGGCATCGGCACCCGGGCCGTCACAGGAGGCGAGGCCTCACCGGCACGGCACCAGCCCATGCCGGGCGGAGGAACTGGCGGGCTCTGCGGACTCTGCCACAGCGCCGTCACGTAGGGCCCCTGAAATTGGAACATGGCTCACGGACACGAGGCAACTAGGCAACTCGGCAACTCAAGGCCCGAATAGGCTGGCTAAAGTTTGCGGCTGTCAGGAAGGTGGAAGCATGGTCCAACAACAGTTTGCTGCTGTGCACCTCATGGAAAGGTCTATAGCAGCTGTTGGCTAAGCCTGGAGCACCGCATCGGTGGCGAAAGGATTTTCTTCAATCAACAGCCTTCCTGAAGACGGTGACAACGTTTCTTGGACTGTTCCGTTGGCCAGGTACTCCGCGTTTGCAAGACTGATCAAGACTCAAGGCAGTTAGCCAGCGACTGGCTTACCACAGTTGCTTTAACCACCACAAACTCTCAGCATGGCTCCATTTTCTGCGTCTCAATGGAGCATGTCGCGTCTCTAGCGAGCCATGCCCCATCTCCCCCGATCCGAAACCTTTGTCGTGGGCACCTGGAGATTTGGGGTCAGTCTGCCCCTTCCATTCCGGCTATGGGCCCTCGCATTAGAAAATCCCAGCAAATCCCATCCCGATTCCCGATCAGAACTCTGGAGTCCGAGAGCTCTGCCCGATGTCCGGACTCGTACTGAACTGCACGGGAGCTGAGGGAACTGACCGGCCCATATTCCACAGCCCTTGAGGAGAAAACACGTCAACGTGCGAGCAGTTTACTCCTGCTCCTCTCTTCCCTGCTAATCATCCGAGGACTAAAAAGAGAATGATTCAGTTGACCGGACAATTAAATACACTGTTGAATGCTGGAAGAAATCGGCCAGCCGACCCTTGCATCTCAAACTAGAAACTCAACATATTCACTATGCATCTCTTCCAACGCCCTCTGAGAGACATCAGGAATCGCTTGTCTGCAATATATGGGAACATCAATGATCCCTTGTTTGCCTTCTCTGAAAAGTTCAGCCCTTAGCCAGTTTCTCCTGCCTGCATCAAAGATTAACATGGAGACGTGATCCATGAGTTCTCCATTTGCTTTCCTCATCTAAAACCAGAAAAAGGCTCGAAGACCCGAAGATCCCCTGTTTGGGACGGTGTCTTAACACCAAGCATGCTGTGGGGAGAGGGGCATCTATGGTGGCTTGATGACCATTCCGTTGCATGTGCGGCTGCCTACATTTCTCATGTCGGGCTCAAGCCATCGGAAAGCTCAGATTCCCCCATCAACATTGGTGCAGTTCTACCTTCAAATATTCTGTAATGCCGCGCCTTGCGCACCACCGCGAGTCTAGACAACGTGGAAACTGCTGTTGAGAAACCACGTCCAGTGGGCTGCACAGCACTGAATAAGCCACGCTGCTTCCCAGTCCAGGCTGCGATGTGTAACCAGCTTAGCTCAGCAACGTCACCTGCTGCAAAAAGAAATGTTACCGTGCAGTGTAAACTCAAAAGCGCACCAACCGGAGCAAATTGCTTGCAGCGAAGTTGGCTTCAGGCTTCATGCTTCAGAAATCCAGTTGCCCAAATCCTCACAACACCTGCCACTTCGGCAGAAGCCTGAAGCAACAGACGCTTCCAGCCTGGCTTGTGGCCAGAAGCCAAGTGCGAAAACCGATTCCGGTCCTTAAAGCTCAAGAACAGTTCAATCGAAACTCTGAAGGGCGTGAGCCGCCTCTGTTTTGTACAGCATGGTCAGCATCCTGAAAGGCGAGCTGTAACCTACCCACTTCCCCACAAACATTGCCCCCACTTTTTGGAAACATGAAGAAACAGAATCGAGATAAAGTGCATAAAGTGCTGCCTTGCAATCCTAGCTCTCCTCTGGTTGGATCTTGGCGTGTCAGCCAAACCAAAGAAACCCTGAGCGTGTGGCACAGGGAAAGTAAATCTGGCTTCCGCTAGTTGATATGAGTTCCCTCATACCTCCCTTCACTGTACAAGGCCATCTGCTCAAGGAACGTCCATCACGAAAAGAAAGAAGAAA